CCTGCTTAAATCAGCACACGTCCAGGCCCGTCTTAAGTTTGCCCATGACCATTTGGATGATCCAGAGGAGTCAGGGAGAAAGTTATGTGGTCAGATGAGTCCAAAATATAACTTTTTGGTCTTAATTCCATTCGCCGTGTTTGGAAGACGAAGAATGATGAGTACCATCCCAAAAACACCATCCCTACTGTGAAGCATGGGAGAAGCATCATGCTTTTGGGGTGTTTTTCTGCACTTGGGACAGGACGACTGCACTGTATTAAGGAGAGGATGACGGGTGCCATGTATTGTGAGATTTCGGGGATCAATCTCCTTCCCTCAGTTGGAGCATTGAAGATGGGTCGTGGCTGGGTCTTCCAACATGACAATGACCCGAAGCACACAGCCAGGATAACCAAGGAGTGGCTCCGTAAGAAGCATATCAAGGTTCTGGAGTGGCCTAGCCAGTCTCCAGACCTAAACCCTATAGAAAATATTTGGAGGGAGCTCAAACTCCGTGTTTCTCAGCGACAGCCCAGAAACCTGGCTGATCTAGAGAAGATCTGTGTGGAGGAATGGGCCAAAATCCCTGCTGCAGTGTGTGCAGACCTGGTGAAAAACTACAGGAAACGTTTGACCTCTGTAATTGCAAACAAAGGCTACTGTACAAAATATTAACATTGATTTTCACAGGTGTTCAAATACTTATTTGCAGCAGTAACACACAAGTAAATTATTTTAAAAAATCATACATTGTGATTTCTGGATTTTTAAAATTTAGATTATGTCTCTCTCAGTGGACATGCACCTAAGATGAAAATTTCAGACCCCTCCATGATTTCTAAGTGGGAGATCTTGCAAAGTTGCAGGGTGTTCAAATACTTATTTTCCTCACTGTATATATTAGGGGTTGAACAACTATATAGTTTTTAAAGTCCACTTCAACATGATAAAAGTCTACGTCGACTAGTCTGTGTGAAGTCATAGGAACTCATGATGCAATATCATCCATCCATCCATTATCTTTACCCGCTTATTCCATTTTGGGTCACGGGGGTCGCTGGTGCACATGTCCAGCAATCACTGTGCGAGGGGCAGGGTACACCCTGGATGGGTCGTAAGTCCATCACAGGGCCACATAGAGACAAACAAACATTCACTCTCTCACTCACACATAGGGACAATTTAGAGTTACCAGTCAGCCTAACATGCATATTTTTGGTCTGTGGGAGGAAACCGGAGTACCTGGAGAAAACCCACGCATGCACGGAGAGAACATGCAAACTCCACCCAGAAAGACCCCCGGACTGGGATTTGAACCGGGGACCTGTGCCCTGAGAGGCAGCAGCTCTACAAGTTGCGCCACTATATATATATATATATATATATTTTTTTTTTAGGATTATCAAATTTTTTTCTATTTGCATAATGCCAGAATAATGAGGGAGAATTTTTTAAAGCAATTTTTATTACTTTCTGCACAATCAGAAGTTTTAATACACTTCACTAGTATTTGGTACCATTGCCCTTCAACTGTATGACTGGGTCAAACGTTTTGGATCTCCTTCCACAAGCTTTTCACAGTAGATGGCAGGAATTTTGGCTCATTCCTCCTGACAGAACTTGTGTAACTTGGCCATGTTTGGAGGCTTGCCTTTTCAGCTTTGCCTATAAATTTTCAATAGGACTGAGATCAGGGCTTTGTGACGGCCACTCCAAAACATTGACTTTGTTGTCCTTGAGCCACTTTGTAACCAGTTTGGCAGTATTCTTCGGGGTCATTTTCCATTTGTAAGACCCATTTGCGCACAAGCTTGAACTTCCTGGCTGATGTCTTGAGATGTTGCTTCAGTATTTCCACATAATGTTCTCCCTCATGATGCCACCTATTTTGTGAAGTGCACCAGTCCCTCCTGCAGCAAAACAACCCCACAACATAATGCTGCCACCCCCGTGCTTCACAGTCAGGATGGTGTTCTCAGTCTTTTTCCTCCAAACATAACGATGGTCATTATTGCCAAACAGTTCAATTTAGGACATGTCTCCAAAAATGAAGGTATTTGTCCCTGTGTGCATTTGCAAACATTAATCTGGCTTTTTTTTTTTTTAAATCAAAGTTCATGCTCAATCATCCTCGTTGGCTTTTTCATGTTTTTTTGAAGTAATGGCTTCTTCCTGGCAGAGTGGCCTTTCAGCCCATGTACAGTTTCACTGTGGGTAATGAGACACTCCTAACAGTTTCAGCCAGCATCTTCACCAGGTCTTTTGCTTTTGTTCTTGGGTTGATCTGCACATTTCGGACCAAAGCACGTTCATCTCTGGGGCACAGACCCCGTCTCCTTTCTGAGCGGTATGTTGGCTGGACATTCCCATCTTGTTTCTACTTGCGTATAATTGTTTGTAAAGATGAACGAGGAACATTCAGGCATCTGGAAATTGCTCCCAAGGATGAACCAGACTTGTGCAAGTCCATAATTCTCTTCCTGGTATGTTGGCTGGTTTGTTTCGACTTTCCCATGATGTTACATAAGGAAACAGTGTGTTTCAGTTGTTCCTTAAGTTACATCCACAGGTGTGTCTCTGAATAACTCAGATTTTATCAATAAGCTTATCAGAAGCTTCCAAAGACATGACATCAAATTTCCCAAATTGTTTGAAGGCAGGACAGCACGGTGGCGCAACTGGTAGAGCTGCTGCCTCTCAGCGAGAAGGTTGCTGGTTCAAATCCCGGTCCAGGGGCCTTCCTGGGTGGAGTTTGCATGTTCTCTCCGTGCATGCATGGGTTTTCTCCGGATATTCCGGTTTCCTCCCACAGACCAAAAACATGCATGTTAGGCTGATTGGTAACTAAATTGTCCCTTGGTGTGAGCGAGAGAGTGAATGGTTGTTTGTCTCGTTTGTCTCTATGTGGCCCTGTGATGGCCTTGCGACCCTTCTAGGGTGTACCCCACCCCTTGCACAGTGATTGCTGGACACCAGCGACCCCGTGACCCAAAATGGAAGTAGTGGGTAAAAGATGATGGATGGATGGATGTTTAAAGGCATAGTAATCTAGTGTATTTAAACTTTTTACTTTGAAGAAAGGTAAAAAAAAAAAGCCTTAAATCTCTCACTGTCATTATTCTCTGGTATTTTGCAAATAGAAAAAATATTGGTAATCCTAATTGACCTAAAACGGGAAAAGTTTATTCTGATTTCACGTCACAGTGTGAAAAAAATGCATGTCTTTTTAAATTGTGTATGTAAACTTCTGGTTTCAACTATGTGTAGACCGGCTACACCAATCATTTGAGGAAACTGTTTTCTAGTTTTTATATTGCTTAAAAGTATAATTTCTTCAAATGATTGAGGTGACCGGAGGTTAATCTATGGGGGCAAGGCCACCATACACCACCCAGCTCCTCCATTGCACTTGGTGGTGGATAAAATTGCTCCTCCACTGACCAGGACCTGACACACTGCACTGACCTAGAAAAGCAAGGAAAAAAAATTAAAATAAAAATCTGTTCTTCTACACATATATGTTGAAACCTACCAACACTCATGGAGGGGGGACTTCAGTGTCCTGTTTGTGATCATGGACTAAAGAGCTTGTTAGTTTCAGCCTGTGGTATTGTCTTGCTTGCCTCCTGCTGTATTTTCATTGTCTTATTAAACTGTACTTTTTTTGTTCTGGTCTCATAGGATCAGATCAGTTCTTTGATGATCCATTTTTCAGCAGACGGCACCAAGGTCGGGTGAGTCGCAGTCATACAGGAGCCCCGTTTTTTGGAGGCTTTGGTTTTCCTCCATTTGGTGCTGGACTCTCACCTTTTAATCCAGGTGAGAAAAACACCAACTTCTTAAACAAAATGGTAAGAAACTGGTATTGTTTGTTTTAATCTGTCTTGTTTTGTTTTTTCTCAGACTTTGGTCCTTTTGGACCAATGAGTACCATGGGTCACATGGGCCACATGACAGCTCTGGGCAGTCTGGGAGGTGGTGGCTTCACTTCTTTCTCATCCAGTTCATTTGGAGGAGGAGGAAGTAATGGAAACTTTCGCTCCGTGTCCACCTCCACTAAGATTGTTAACGGCAGAAAGATAACTACTAAAAGGTAGATATGAAATGAATGGGTATATATGGTTGTACTGATCAAGATTTTCATCAGAATCAGAAAAAGTTTTTTTATCATTGCACTGAGTTACAACGAGAATATGTCCGTACAGTCATCCGAAAGATGGGTGGAGTGCACATTGCTGCTGCTATAAGCGCAGCCTTCTTATCCTTTTCAGAATACATTTTTTAGATAGAAAAAAAAGACAAAGCCATGAGGAGAGGATAGTGGCATTACAAAAAAGATCTCTTCACACCTTGTTGCGATAGACAAAGCTTTTTCTTATTTCCCAGGAGAAATTGATAAGTCGGCCTGTTCCGAGGCCAACTGGGGAGTCTGATTCAGATAATCTACAATTGTTGATTTATTCAGGCAGACTATTTTTCCTTGTCAGCCTTGAGTCTGTACTGATAATTCCAAGGTCCGAAATGGCCAGATTAGGGTGCATTCTACTGGTTCGTGCTTACGAGCCTCTTCAAGGTTGTTACATGCTGACGAGTCCCAAAGCCGCATGTGGCCTGCGATTTAAATCACTTCCATCTTACGGTTTAGCTCGTAAATCAGTTGATTTTGAGTCCTCAAAGCACGGACCAACCTTCACATAGGCAGCAGCCTGACGATGGCCAAATTAGCTTGTACGTTGATCAACCAGGATCCAGACTATTCCAAAAACAGGAAACCTGTTATCATAACTCCAATTATATGTAATTTTGGCGTCCTCAATCGACAGAAGAGGTAGACATATCACCCCCAGAGATATATCCAGCTGCATGCTTGTTGTCCGAGCAGATGAGTGTTCTTCAGGACCCTGTCGCTTTGTTGAAAAGATTTTGTCATTTGTGTCATAGTAAGTCCAGTTGGTCAGATCCAAAACAGTAGTTTTCATTTCGGAAGATGTGTAAAAATAGGAGCTGCTTCAAAACACAGACAGAGAGCAAAAAAGCAGGAGGAGAACAGGGAGAGGGACGAAATGCGCGCGGCTCGTTACAGAGCCAGTGAGGAGAAAAAAAATAAAATTTTAAATACGAGTATAAGCAGATATCAAGTATAAGTTTGATACTTGAGTTATTATTATTATTATCTAACAATTTCCTGCGGGATCAATAAAGTTCTATCTTATCTTATATTTGGGGCAGCTGTGGCTGAGTGATTAGAGCAGTTGTCCTCCAGTGGTAGATTTGGGGGGTTGATTCCACCAGCAGTCACCTGCTGAAGTGTCCTTGGGCAAAACACTGAACCCCTTATTGCCTCCGTTGTGTGTCCCATCAGTGTATGAATGTGATAAAGCTCTGATTAGTCTTTGTAGAGATCTAGTAGAGTGCTGTATTAATGGGTAAATGAGGGCACATATTGTGTTGTAAAGAATTTTGAGTGTCTTGATAAGATAGAAAGGCACTATATACAGTCCTATATACTATACACAGTCCTATATACTATATACAGTCTTATATACTATATACAGTCCTGTATATTATATACAGTCCTGTATACTAAATACAGTCCTGTATACTATAGGCAGTCCTGTATATTATATACAGTCCTGTATACTTTATACAGTCTTGTATACTACATACAGTCCTTTGTACTATATACAGTCCTTTGTACTATATACAGTCCTTTGTACTACAAACCGGATTCCAAAAAAAGTTGGGACACTAAACAAATTGTGAATTAAAACTGAATGCAATGATGTGGAGATGGCAAATGTCAAAATTTTATTCGTAATATAACGTAGATGACAGATCAAAAGTTTAATCTGAGTGAATGTAACATTTTAAAGGAAAAATATGTTGATTCAAAATTTCACAGTGTCAACAAATCCCAAAAAAGTTGGGACAAGTAGCAATAAGGGGCTGGGAAAAGGTCATTGCTCATCTAACGAACAGCTGGAAGACCAGTTAACACTAATTAGGTCAATTGTCAACATGATTGAGTATTAAAAAAGCTTCTCAGAGTGTCAGTATCTCTCTGAAGCCAAGGTGGTAAGAGGATCACCAATTTCACCATTGTTGCGCAGAAAGACAGTGCAGCAATACCAGAATGGTGTTACCCAGCGTAAAATAGCAAAGACTTTAAAGTTATCATCATCAACCGTGCATAACATCATCAAAAGATTCAGAGAATCTGGAACAATCACTGTGCGTAAGGGTCAAGGCCGTAAAACTCTACTGGATGCTCGTGATCTCCGGGCCCTTAAACGTCACTGCACCTCAAACAGGAATGCTACTGTCAAGGAAAAAACAGAATGGGCTCAGGAATACTTCCAGAAAGCATTGTCAGTGAACACAATCCACTGTGCCATCCGCCGTTGCCAGCTGAAACTCTACAGTGCAAAGAGGAAGCCATTTCTAAGCAAGCTCCAAAAGCTCAGACGTTTGCACTGGGCCAGGGGTCATTTAAAATGGAGTGTGGCAAAATGGAAGACAGTTATGTGGTCAGATGAGTCACGATTTGAAGTTCTTTATGGAACACTGGGACGCCATGTCATCCGGACCAGAGAGGACAAGGATAGTCCATGTTGTTATCAACGCTCTGTTCAGAAGCCTGCATCACTGATGGTATGGGGTTGCATGAGCGCTTGTGACATGGGCAGCTTGCATGTCTGGAAAGGCACCATTAATGCAGAGAACTATGTTCAGGTTCTAGAACAACATATGCTCCCATCTAGACATCATCTCTTTCAGGGAAGACCCTGCATTTTTCAACACGATAATGCCAGACCACATTCTGCAGCAATCACAACATCATGGCTACGTAGGAGAAGGATCCAGGTACTGAAATGGCCAGCCTGCAGTCCAGATCTTTCACCTATAGAGAACATTTGGCGCATCATAAAGAGGAAGGTGCGACAAAGAAGGCCCAAGACGATTGAACAGTTAAAGGCCTGTATTAGACATGAATGGGAGAGCATTCCTATTTCTGAACTTGAGAAACTGGTCTCCTCTGTCCCCAGACGTCAGTTTAGTGTTGTAAGAAGAAGGGGGGATGCCACACGGTGGTAAAAATGGACTTGTCCCAACTTTTTTGGGATTTGTTGACGCCATGAAATTTGGAAACAACAGATTTTTCCCTTAAAATGATACATTCTCTCAGTTTAAACTTTTGATCTGTGATTTGAGTTCTATTCTGAATAAAATGTTAGATGTTGGCACCTCCACATCATTACATTCAGTTTTTATTCACAATTTGTTTAGTGTCCCAACTTTTTTGGAATCCGGTTTGTATATACAGTCCTATATACTATGTACAGTCATACAGGTCTTTCTCAAAAAATTTGCATATTGTGATAAAGGTCAATATTTTCCATAATGTAATGATAAAAATGAAACTTTCATATATTTCAGATTCATTGCACACCAACTGAAATATTTCAGGTCTTTAATTGTTTTAATACTGATGATTATGGCATACAGCTCATGAAAACCCAAAATGCCTGTCCCAAAAAATTAGCATATCATGAAAAGTTTCTCTAAACATGCTATTAACCTAACCATCTGAATCAAAAGACATAACTCTAAATCTGCAAAAGATTCCTGAGGCTTTTAAAAACTCCCAGCCTTGTTCATTACTCAAAACTGCAATCATGGGTAAGACTGCCGACCTGACTGCTGTCCAGAAGGCCATCATTGACACCCTCAAGCAAGAGGGTAAGACACAGAAAGAAATTCCAGACCTTGGGGGACCTGCGGAAGCAGTGGACTGAGTCTGGAGTAGAAACACACAGGCGTGTGCAGGAAATGGGCTACAGGTGCCGCATTCCCCAGGTCAAGCCACTTTTGAACAAGAGACTGCGTCAGAAGCATCTCGCCTGGGACTGCTGCTGAGTGCTCCAAAGTTATGTTCTCTGATTACAGTAAATTTTGCATTTCCTTTGGAAATCAAGGTCCCAGAGTCTGGAGGAAGAGAGGAGACACATAATTCACATTGCTTGAGGTCCAACGTCAAGTTTCCACATTCACTGGGGTGCCATGTCAGCTGCTGGTGTTGGTCCACTGTGTTTTATCAAGGGCAGGGTCAATGCAGCTAGCTATCAGGAGATTTTGGAGCACTTCATGCTTCCATCTGCTGAAAAGCTTTATGGAGATGAAGATTTCATTTTTCAGCACGGCCTGGCACCTGCTCACAGTGCCAAAACCACTGGTAAATGGTTTACTGACCATGGTATTACTGTGCTCAATTGGCCTGCCAACTCTCCTGACCTGAACCCCATAGAGAACCTGTGGGATATTGTGAAGAGAAAGTTGAGAGGCGCAAGACCCAACACTCTGGATGAGCTTAAGGCAGCTATCGAAGCATCCTGGGCCTCCATAACACCTCAGCAGTGCCACAGGCTGATTGCCTCCATGCCACGCCGCATTGAAGCAGTCATTCATGCAAAAGGATTCCCGACCAAGTATTGAGTGCATAACTGAACATGATTATTTGAAGGTTGGCGTTTTTTGTATTAAAAACACTTGTCTTTCATTGGTGGGATGAAATATGCTAATTTTTTGGGACAGGCATTTTGGGTTTTCATGAGCTGTATGCCATAATCATCAGTATTAAAACAATTAAAGACCTGAAATATTTCAGTTGGTGTGCAATGAATCTGAAATATATGAAAGTTTCATTTTTATCATTACATTATGGAAAATAATGACCTTTATCACAATATGCTAATTTTTTGAGAAGGACCTGTATATACTATATATATTTCACCTACCATTATATCAGTTTTTACAGCACAGACTTTCAGAATACATGCCATAAGTATATTGAAGTTATTATAATCAATCCAGTAAACAACATAATCATCAAACGTGATCTTATTCAAGGCAGCTGCCTTGACACTGACGGCACTGAACGTGGCCCACTTGTACTCGGTCACCCACCTTTGCTGGGATGCAGTTGAAACTCTCTTTGAGGTGGGCGTTGAAGATCTTTTCTTTTGCCAATCACTCCCAGCAAGCCCTCACTAAATGTTTGGGTCTATACATTCTGTTCAGCATCTTCCCCCATCA